AATTGACAACATAATTCATGATAATATTTTTCGAATAATTAAATAAATCAAATACATATTGAAAAATAACGTGTTAAATGTACATTCATCATAACTAATTAATTGATAAAATAACTAATGATAAATATTGTTCAAATTGTTCAAATGATTAATAAATTAAATACATATTGAAAAACGAAAAGTAATGTATTATTGAAATAATTAAATGTATATTGAAAAATGAAAAGTAAAGTATTATTTAAATTATTGAATTATAATAAAGATATAATTGTTCAAAAAATAATTCTCCACTCTCGATAAGTTTAACAAATACCGTATTTACAACATATATCAGATATGCAACTTACATACCGTATCGGATATGCAACATACCGTATATGCAACTTATCGAATTTTTTTTTATGAATTTAATTTATTGTTTAATCAAGTAGAAATATGAATTTGTCAAATGTACATTGATTATAACTAAATAATTGACAACATAATTCATGATAACATTGTTCAAATAATTAAATAAATCAAATACATATTGAAAAATGATGTGTCAAATATACATTCATTATAACTAAATAATTTACAAAACAACTAATGATAATATTGTTNATTGTTCAAATGATTAATAAATTAAGTACATATTGAAAAACGAAAAGTAGCGTATTATTTAAATAATAAAAAGTATATTAAAAAATAAAAAGAAAGGTATTATTGAAATTATCAAGTTATAATAAAGATAGAATCATTACAAAATAACTCTCCACATACCGTATGTACAATATACATACCGTATATGTAACTTACCGGATGTGCAACTAACATACCGGATATACAAATAATATATAACATACCGTATATGCAACATAACATATATACAACTTACCGGATATGCAATTAACATATCGTATATGCAACTAATATATCGGATATGCAAATAACATACCGAATAAAACTGAAGGATTGGATGAGTAAAAATTGGAAAAATGAACAGTAACATCCATTGGTTACTATTGCATCTACAGTAACTATTAGAGTCCCACATTGACTTGTGATATTTATACGATCCACTTAATAAGGTGATGGCAATCCCCCCATAACAAATCGATTTTGTTAGGTTGAATTAGGCCCAAATTATAAGAGTTTGGGTTACTACTCTTAATAAAATTGACTTTTTAAGATGAAATCCCAAATTTTAACATGGTATCAGAGCAGACCCAATTTTACAATGTTTGGTGCACCCAGTATCGATTTGTTCACAGTTTTTTGACACGGTTTACGCTGTGCGTGATGTGGCGTATTAGAGTCTCACATTGGCTGATGATATTTACATGATCCACTTAATAAGGTGAGGGCAATATTCCCTTAACAAACCGATTTTGTTAGGTTGAGTTA